AGCCTCCCCAGGACGCCTCCAAGAGGCCAACATCCCCCAGAAAATCAGTGTTTATTGCCTTAAGGCACTTTCGCTTCCGATGTCCTTCCGATGCCCCAATATTGCTCCACGATGGCCCAAGAGGGGCCCGAGAGAGCTCTAAGACGGTTCCCAGAGCGCCCAAGAGCGCCCAAAGAGGACGCCAATAGGCGATTTCAGGGGCTCGAGAAGGGCAGCGCTTTTAAGAAGGGACCCCCTTTCTTTGATCGATGTCCTCCAAGATGGCCCCTGAGAGGGCCTCCAAGGCGTTGAACAATGCCCCGAACGAGCCCCAAGAGGTCTCTGAAAAAGACATCCCAAATAGCCCCAAAGCCAGGCACCAAGATGGCCCAGGCAAGCTGGCAATAGGCTCCCATACCGAAAGATCCACGAAGTCATATAAAGTTGACTCCTAGGCCTGCTCAGGCAGATCCCGATCCTCGGTTTTGATGGCTGCCCCCACTCTTTGTTTCACTGCGTGCTCCCACCCTTCCCTGATCAATGCAACGCGCCTGGGCATCGTTACCGGATGTGCTGGTGGGGATCTGCAAAGCGTCAGTAATTTCGAGCAAACTGCACGGAGGGGGCTTGTTCTTTTTCAGAGCGCTGCTCTCGCCCAGCGCTGCGCATGCTTGCCTCAAGCTTGCAACATGCCTGAAGTGCGGCTCCATCTCAAACCGGTTTGCCTGTGTCAGCGTGATGACATCGCATCAGGTGGTGTCTGCTGGGCTCCCTCTGATCGTCGTCGTCGTCCTCCTCCTCCTCCTCCTCCCGCCTCCGAAGCACCACCACCACCTCCTCCTCCTCCTCCTCCTCCTCCTCCTCCTCCTCCTCCTCCTCCTCCTCCTCCTCCTCCTCCCCCTCCCCCTCCCCCTCCCCCTCCTCGTCGTCGTCGTCGTCCTCCTCCTCCCGCCTCCGAAGCACCCCCACCGCCCCCACGTGGCGTGACACAGGCGGGCCCCGACGGCCAACGGGGCCCGGACCCTGGGGCCCCCCCCCCCGAGACCAGCTCCTCGCCCTGAACCGCTCCTTGAGAGCCTTGGGTCGGGCATGTCCCCCTAGGTGAATACGGCCCCCCAGTCGGCGAGACCAGCCGCGTCATACGAACCTTCGCGCAGCGCGTACTTTCGAAACCAGCGTGGATTCATGCACGTTCCTCGTGGTTCGGGGGGTCGACGTCACCGAACGCCTACGCCTACGCTTGAGCCTTGGGCCGGGCATGTCCCCTACAGTTGTGTTGCTCCCGTCGTGCTTAAGGACGGCATCCCAAAAATAATTTCGAGCTCCCGGAAAAGTGTCGAACGAGTGCCGAAAGAGTGTCTCGAAACAGTGTCTCCTAGGGCCCGGCACGTGAAAACCCTCGAGTTTAGGGGTGCGCTCGAAATTCGATCTGGTGATCACGGCTGAAGTAGGTTGGAACATCATACCCCTTACAGGGGGGTTTTGGACGACAAACTATAGATGCCCCCCAACTCATGCAAAGATATGCGAAGACTGCTCAAAAAATGGTCCCCGTACTATTTGTTTTGACTATCTTTGATTATGCCTCTGGTCGAACAGGCCGACTCAATTTTAGTCCCGGGGCCCACGGAGGGCTCCGAGGGGCCGACAACGGCGATCAAAAGCCAGGACCCGTCTCCCGCAATATCCGCTCGCTTCATGGTAGCCCTGCGCACCATCCATTGAATGGGGCCCTGGGACACACAAATAAATACACACAAATAAAACGATCCCCCATATTTTCCCATATTTTCTGGGTTTTTGTCTTCCCCACCACTTCCCATATTTTCCTATATTTTCTGGGGAGTCGACGATTAATTGTGTCTGTGTGTTTCTTTCCCTCCTGATCCATGGGGGGCAGCGGCCCAAATGACGACAAGCCGGACCTTCTTCCAAGACACCCTCTCTGTTGGAGGCCTGCCGCACAAGCGACGCGCCATGAGCAGCCAGTACACCGCCTCGAGGAGTCGCTTCAGAACCTTAGAGGCACCCCTCCTCCTCCTCCTACCCCTCCTCTTCCCTGTTTCTCCTTCACGTTTCCTGTTTCCTTCTTCCTCTTCCTCCTCCCTCCCTCCTCCTCCCTCCTCCCTCCTCCTCCCTCCTCCTCCTCCTCCTCCTCCTCCTCCTCCTCCTCCTCCTCCTCCTCCCGCTCCTCCAACTGCTGCTCCTCCTCCTCCTCCGCCTCCTCCTGCTCCCCCTGGACTCAGACTCTACAACTCGACGTCTATCAAAGCTGGGCGCCGATCGCACAACACGCGCACACCGAATGTGCCAACAACCGTTCGCAAAAAGAGAGCCGGGCACCCTGCCGGCGCGGCGGCCCCCGCACTGGAGCGCGCCAGTCCAGGATCCGAAGCACGCCCCGCTCGCAGCCACGGCGTGCTTCTTCCCCGGCGAGCTTCTCGGCGGGCTCAAGCTGCGGACCCAGACCTGATCGCGTCGTAAAAAATTCAAGACGGGAGGTTTTTGGCTATTTTCGGCC